AGCAAAGAACCCAGCTCCAAAGCGTTGGCACCGTCTGTCCACATCTCCTCCATCTTCTCGGCCTCCTTGCTCCACTCCCTGCAAATTCGCCCAGCCCATCATCGAAATTTATACAAAAAAAATATAATAGAAAATGGGATAGTGGAGGAAAGTGGTGCTAGCACCACGTGAAAAAAAAAATAGGGAAGGTGCATGTGGCACCGGAAAAAAAAATAAAATAATAATAATAATAATAATAATAATAAATTAATTAATTAAACAAAAAAAAAGGTTCATGATTGTGGTGGGTGTGAGCACCGCTGAAAGAAACAAAAAAATAAAAGAAAATTTTGATGGTGCATCTGGCACCATGGAAAAGAAAAGAAAAAAAAAAGAAAAAAATGATTAAAAGGGAAGTGATGGTGCATCTGGCATCATGAGAAACATATATACATATATATATATATATATATATACATATATAATGCATTTAGTAAAGTCCATCTTTTATTTATTTCTCTAAAAAATTTACATAAATTCGCATTCCACATGTCATAAAAAAAAAAATCAAATCAAATCAAATTTACAAGAGGGGATCTTCAAGGACGATCAGGTGGCGCCTCACAACTCGGCAGAGCTCCAGGAAGAGAAGGCGCCGGAGGTTGACTGTTTGAAGCCTCAGCACTCGGTACAGCCCCAGAAGATGAAGGTAAATGCTGCTGGAACAAACCCACAAACCTCTGATGATCAAGTAAAATCTGACCATCAGATTCCTGCATCTGGTCAATCTTCCTCTTCATGTTTGTCGCATAGCTATGTGCGAGCTTATGCAACTGTTTATTCTCCTGCTTGAGCCCTCTAATCTCCTGTTTGAGACTCATCACTTCAGCCGCCAATGATTCAACTTGACGGGTTCGAGCAAATAGGCGTTAGGCCATATTAGACACAGAACCTGCACACTGCACACTGAGAGCCAGATAATCCTTAACAGCCAACTCATCAGACCGTTTGGAAAGTAGTCTGTTATCTCTGGGAGTGACAAGGTTTCGGGCCACCACCGCAGCGGTCATATCATTCTTCACCACCGAATCCCCAACGGTAAGAGGACCAGTGGGGGATATGAAGGATGGGCGCCATATGTTGTCTGGAGAAGGCGGGACTGCCTCTTCACCAAGATTCAAGTCAAAACGACGGTCTGAGGGTCCAGACATTTTCAAAGTGTTAAAGGAAGAAGAGATCGGACAAATCAAGATCTTAGAAGTACAAGATGGGAGTTTTCACAAGCGAAAATTCAAGTGTGTTTTGAAACGAACTGCATGCCTCTATAAAAAATTAGCACTCGACGAGATTTCAGAAGCGAGCTCAGAATTCGAAGAGGCCATTCAAAAATCGAAGAGGCAAGCTCAGAAATCGGAGAAGCATCTTGCTTTTCCAGACACGTCGGCACTCGTCACACACAAACTCAGCTTTGCGGAAATTACGGGCAATTTGTCGAAGCGCTGATCCCAGATATCGAAGAGGCGCCAGTCTTTTTCAGCCTCGTCAACACCTGTCATATGCACACTCAACTTTGCGCAAATCACGGACAATTTGTCGAAGATTTTTGGGTGAAGGAGAAAGCACGTGAAGTTTACTGTTCAAACATCCAACGGTTGCCGACACGAGTGAAAGAATAGTACCTCTACAGGTGTTAAAGAACTTCCTATAACTGTCCACCTTCACCCTCCATAGCAAGGCAGACATACAGACCTTTCTTCATCTCTGAGAATGCCTTCCCAACGAAGCCTCTTGAGTTACTCAGTGTTCCTTATTCCTTGGGGTACCTTTGCAAACAAATGACACTAAAGCAAAATTATCTCATATCACTAGGGTAGAAAGCAAGAGTATCTCATATCATGCGTTCTCCCTGTCCTTTCCTTTGTCTTTGTTCTTACCTGCAAAGACAAGGATAAAGAAAGCAATATGCCGGAACTTCCACTCAAACTCGGGTAAGGAACCGACTGCTTGGAACCCTTCCCTGATTGCCTACCTAGCACTGCTCTCGAGTACTCGTCTCCCACTGCTGCTGTACTTCCAAAGAAGCTACCACATCTACCTGAAGAACAGATAAGGCAAGTGAAAATGATACCTTGCAGCATGTGGAGACAACGTGCAGAAGGAACAAGCAAAGAAGAATGCGGTCTGCACAGTCAACTCAGCAGAAGGAGTCCGAACTGAGGAACTTGAGAAGCTGCCACATTTGCCTGAAGAAACAAGCAGAGAAGAATGCAACATGCACAGTCAACTCAGCAGAAAGAGTCTGAGATGAAGAACTCGAAAAGATGCCACATTCTGCCTGAGGAACAGATAAAGCAAGGGAAAATAATACATTGAAGGATGTGGAGACAAGCACAACAAAGCACGTGCCGATTCATCCGCTACTTCTTCAAAATCAAAAGTATCTCATATCATCAGGGTTGCAATCACTCTGGACGGTGAGCTCGTTTTGACCCTCAAATTCTTGGGTCGACTTACTAGGCGTTGTGGGCTGCACGTGCCGATTCACCACCCTTGAATCAAATCCTTAAAGATCAAGTCATCAACTGGAAGAAAACCCTATCAATCTTGAAGATCATACCGTTGACCAAACTGCTCAGGTGTGAATTAGAAAGATTGAACAAAGCAACAAATCGTCACCTTCACCTCGTGCCTGCTTGCAATATGTTCGAGTCAACCTTCAAGAATCAAGCCTCAACGGCCCTTGAAGAAGCTTCCAGCCAAATTCAAAATCAAGCCTCGACGGCCCTGGAAGAAATCACAAGTCCGATTCAAGATCAAGTGTCTACCACTCTTGAATCAAAACCTAGTTCAAGAATAAGCTGTGGAAAATCAACAATTGGAGGAATCCAGAAAATCCTCCAACCCAGTTCAAAATCAAAGCTGTGGAAAGTCAACAAAGCGCAAAAACAAATACGTGCCGATTCATCCACTACCAAAGCCAAGGATCATCTACCACATGAAGCTCCTTGTGGTCCAATTTCAACTTTCAAGATCAAGCCCCAACGGCCCTTGAAGAAATTTCAAACAAAAGTTCAAGAACAAGCCTCAACGGCCCTTGAAGAAATTTCAAACAAAAAATTCAAGAACAAGCCTCAACGGCCCTTGAAGAAATCTCAAGCCCAATTCAAGATCAAGCCTCAAACGGCCCTTGAAGAAATCTCAAGCCCAATTCAAGATCAAGCCTCAACGGCCCTTGAAGAAATCTCAGGCCCAATTCAAGATCAAGCCTTGAATGGCCCTTGGATCGACATCTACAATAAGGGACTTCAAAACGCATCTCCTACACACGACAAGCACATGTATACAACGCGTCTTGAAGTGGGGGCATTTGTAGACATCGAAATTTTGGTAAATAAATGTTGACCGATAAATTAAAGTTTCAACGCTCATGTATTACATAAATTTTACACGTAGCGTGTGTCTAAACAAAAATCGAAATAAGTTGGAAAAGTCATCAAATAGGACACGTGTCAACACCTGGCAGAAACGACTTATTTCATTTGGAATATTATATTCAAAATTAGGCCTTGGAAATTTCTATAAATAGAAGGCTAATTCATTCATTTGAGGGGAGGGACCAATTCATATTACACCTTGAAGCTCTGAAGCTCTGAAACTCCGAAGCTCTCAAGCATCCAGGTTCCCGAAGAATCGAGAAAGCTCTCTTCGTTCTTCGTTCATCGTTCTTCCAAGATCAAGCCCAAACGGCCCTTTGGATCAACAATCATCCACCAATTCAAGATCAAGCCCCGACGGCCCTTGAAGAAAGTGTTCTTCGTTCTTCGTTCATCGTTCTTTCAAGATCAAGCCCCGACGACCCTTGAAGAAAGCCCCATCGTTCATCATCCGTTCATCCAAGATCAAGCCCCAACGACCCCTTTGGATTAACAACGTCGACAAATCCACACATCCAACCGTTCTTCAAGATCAAGCCCAAAAGCCCTTGAAGATCCGTCCATCACTGTTCTTCAAGATCAAGCCCAAACGCCTTTGAAGATCTGCTCATTACCGTTATTCAAGATCAAGCCTCAAACGGCCCTTGAAGATACATTCATCCTCAAGATCAAGCCCCAACGGCTCCTTGAAGATCCGCTCAAATCCACCTCCAAAGATCAAGCCCACGGCCCTTTGAAGAAACTTCCAACAGTTCATCCAAGATCAAGCCTTGACGGCCCTTGGATCAACGAAATATCCACCAATCAACACCTTACGGAGATCGAATCAGAGGATCAAAATAGAGAGAGATTGTAAGTCAAAATCATCAAAACATAAATATTTGTTTGTGCACGTTCGTTGTTCTTGTCTCTTTCATTTCAGGAATTTTCCGTGTTCACAGTAGCTTCATAAGTACTTTATGTCGTCATGTGTCGATCATGGTCGTATCTTGAGATCAAGGTGTGACACTCTACACCTCCTCTATACTCAAAACGACATAGTTTTAAGTATAAGCACGCTACAAAACTTTAGTATTCTTTTTACATAATGCTATATTTGGAGGAATGAAGCTAAATAAGAGATGAATAAAAAAATATACAATGACGGATTATAAATGCACCACATTTGCATTACAAAGGCATATGAGAGGGATTTGCAACTCCGTCTAGCATACATTTGTAACTTGGTAATGGTCATGTAGTGCATTTCCGCATCTAAAGTTTTATAGCTTATTGCTTCCTCACTTGGCTTAAATCCCTTACACCCAAACAAAGCCTAACGGTCAAATTTCACCAATTTAATATAACCATGGAAAACAAATAGCTTGGAATTGTAAATCAATCTCAAATGTCTCTCAATCCTCAAACAATCAAGAATTGTGCAAATTAAAGTAATTTGAAATTTGTTTAAATTTGATCAAACATTCAACAGCTTGAGCTTTTGGGCTAAGCCGAAGATCGGTTGGGTGTTACAGATCAAAAATTTTAAATCAGACCCCAAACATGTTTTACTTTCCTGAATTTCCCATTGTACTCCCCCATGATCAATTTTCCAGTAACTCTTTTTTTCTTAAATCTGCTTCTCCAACAGGGGACAAGCTAGAGTGCCTTGGAGAACTTTAGGGCCCAGAATTCATGAGATTAATTCTGAATTCGAACTATTTAAAAATATTGGGCAGGCATAGCAGACAGAGATAAATATTTAAAGGAAATGACTCAATCTGTCTCTCTTTTATATGCTTACATGATATTGATCAAAATGAAAATCATCGTCCTCTCTTCGCCATCATCATCAAACGTCAGTCAAGCGACAAGAAGCTGCCAGATCTTCTCTCCTGCCGCTCATGGCACTGGAGTGACGAGATGCCCCGAGACCAAAATCTTCACTCATGTTCGCAGCAGAGCTCTGCACTAACCGCACCAACTGTTGCACCAGTTCTTTATAATAAGATGTTTGTAACTCGGCTAGAATAAGTCTTGCAAGATTTAGTTTCTTCGAGTTATGTAATATTTTGGCAATTTTGTAGTGTTTCTTTGTTTTAGGTAATTAAGTATTAGGAGACTTTGGATGCGGTCCCTAACTATCAATGTTCTTTGATCGAAACCTTGTTGATTTTCAGTTTTTAACCGAAGTGCTTGACATAATAATGTATAGGTTATTATATATTTTAAAACTAAAAATTGAAATATAAATTGTTTGATATTAGGGGTTTTTTACCCGATTGTAACTTAACTGTAATTTGCATCTAGATGTGAAAAGAGAAACATTGTACAAAATTTGCTCGATTTGCATCTATGAGGTTTTTTTTAGTGCACATTAAGTTACACATCTAAATAAGAATCGTTAGATAATTTAATCTAATAAAATATAACTCTTGTTCAAATGAATTTAGGGTAAATTACATTTTACTCCCTTAAATTTGAGGTCGATTTCAATTCCTTACAAATCTTTAAAACATTTCAATTTCATACATTTACTTATTATTTTATTTCAATTTCATACATCCGTTAGAAAATTTGTTAAGTAAACCGTTAAGTGATGACGTGGCAAATATGGAGTCTACATTTGTGTTGATATGGTTGTCAAATTTGTGCCAAGTGGCAAGAAAAAAATTTATGCATTAAAATATAATAATATTTACCCTATTAAAATAAAAATTAAATTAAATTAAATTAAAAAAAAAAACAAAAAACCAAACAGAACCCAGAAATGATTCACCTCCTCTTCCCATCTCCGGAACCTTCAAAACCTTCAGATTCACCTCCCTCTTTCTGCACATCAAGATTAAGCAAACAAAATGTCAATCAAATTGCAAATTCAAATTTGCAATACCAAATTAAAACGAAAAAATTGCGTAAAATCGCAATAAAAACTAACATTTCTCGGACCGTCTGATCGAAGACCTTCATGAAATCCTTGACGAATCTGAAATATTCGGAAATGCGCGATGAGATTGGAGAACCAAAATTGCGACTGAATCAGAGCGAATCAGAGAAACTGAAGTCAAATTTTGGAGGAATGCAAGAAGATTAAGGAAGAAAGAAGAATGACCTCTTAGTAGAAAGTTGAAGAGAAAGGAAAGCAAAGATTTTCAGATCTCAGCGTTCGTCGCCAGACGCGAGAGAGAGAGGTGGGGGTGGGGCGGTCTGGGGTGGGTTTTTGGATGGGAGGGGAGGTGGGTCGGGGGTTCTGGTTTGTTTAGTTTTTTTCTTTTTTTTTTTAACATAAAAAATTAATTTTTTTGCCGCGTAGCATAATTTGGCAGTCACGTTGGATCTCATATTTGCAACGTCATCACTTAACGATTTACTCAACAGATTTTTTTAACAGACATATGAAATTGAAATAAAATGATAATTAAATGTATGAAATTGAAATGTTTTAAAGATATTATAAGGAATTGAAATAAACCCCAAACATGAGGGGGTAAAATGTAATTTACCTATGAATTTAAGAAAAATTAATGAAAATGGTTTGAGAATTTTGAGTTTTAACGATAAAGACAAAATAAAGGGTAAAATAAATAGTATCATAATTGACTTTTTAGTGTAAAAATGTAATTTTTCGTTAAAGTAAACTATACCGGTAGTTTTTCGTTAAAGTTTGAATTTATTGTATTTTCACCGTATAAGATCCGTCAAAACTACCAGAGTGAATTGGGCCAACCCATCAATGAGAAGGTGCATTGGGCCAAATGAAAGTGAAATTCGGGGTTTTTTGCTGGTATATCCTCAAATCAGATAAATCTTAGATCTTTCTTATTAACTCTATCCTCTGAAACACCTCCGTCTGCGACTGCAAACCATAAACAACTTCCAAGCTCTCGTCGAGAAGCACCTCCTCTCTCTCTCTCCAACTTCCTCACATTCATATATCCCCACTTCAAATACAAGCTCCAAAATTTGCAGCCAGGTTCGTTTTGCTCCTCGTTTTATAATTCTTTCGTGATTTTTCCCCTTCTTTCTCCATATTCTGCTCTTACCAAGCTTGTCTTTTAATTTTATTTTTATTTTTTTGTGTATTTCTTTTCTGCTTAAGCTTATATTTAGTGAAGAGTATATTAATTAGAGGAAACAAGAACAAATAATCTCAGAATTTAGCCAACTGGGGTATTAAAAATGTTGAAACTTGGCCAGTTAATGAAGTGCTAAGTGGTTTTTGATTCAAACCCATTGCTAACCATACTTCTAATTTGTGTTTTGGATGTTTAGGTCAATGTGGTATGCTGTCTCTGCCCCAAACTATTGCATATCATATCCGAGAAGACCTTGCAGCCCTCCTTCTCTAAGGAAGTATTCGGTTTCCACAAGTTTACGTGTGAAGGCTTGCTTACCGGATAATACCAATGGCGCTAAAGTGGAGTACACTCCTTGGCTGATTGTTGGATTGGGTAACCCTGGCAACAAGTACCATGGGACTAGGCACAATGTAATATTCCACCTTTATAAACTAGTTTAAGTGTTTCGGTTGAATTCTTTTTCATTACCCTTTGTTTCCTGTGGGTTTTGTACACCAGATTGGTTTCGAGATGATTGATGGTATTGCTAAAGCAGAAGGCATTGCGATGAATACAATACAGTCGAAGGCCTTGATTGGAATAGGTGGGTCTTCAGTAGTATTTTAAGTGTTTCAATTCTTGTTTTTCAATTCCACATTTTCATGTGTTTTGGTGTTCATTTAGATTCTTCTCTGTGATCAGTACAGGCTCCATTGGAGAAGTACCAATTTTGTTGGTGAAGCCTCAAGCCTACATGAATTATAGCGGAGAATCGGTGTGTTCTCATCGTTTCTGTTTGCTTTTTTTGGTGTCAATTTTGGCTCACATAACTGTTATACACTCCACTACCCATAAGTGTTCTATGATAACTTTGTATTACTTATAACCTAAACTCTGTGACGTCCCAACGAAAGTGACAGGATACTCTATACTGGACAGACCATTAGATTGAGAATCCATAATGTAAATTTCTGTTGCACCTAATGGAAGGGTTCAAGTAAACTTCAAAAGGAGCTTTCATTTAGTATAATTATTCGTATTTTCCTCAACGCTGCAATCAGTTTTTGATGGAAGAAGAGCTGTGTTTCATGAAATACCGTCTTCCAGGAATATGTAAAAGTAATAATGATTAATTAGCTCCGGAGTGTGCTTTCTGCAATTGATTACAATCATTTACCATTCACTCACGTAGAGTTTAACCTGGCTGTGAACTAAGCAATGGTGATTTCTATATCATTACATGTTTGAAAATTTCAAACCATATATTTCATTGTGGTGTGTAATCAGATGATTGACATTTTCGAGCTCATGAAAGATTATAATACTGTGATCAATTTTGTTGGCAAAATGGGATAACGTGGTGAAGCGATGTGCCATTTTCATTAATATTTTTCTTCATGTTCATGTTTATGGGTGCACTTATGCCAGAATATCCATGAGCATCATAGTATGTATCTCCTTTTCTTTAGTTGAATGAGTAAATGCCAGTGTGATTAGAGCTACCTTACGATTGCATTTTTCCAATCACTTATTCTCCTTTCATTATTCTTAAGGTTGGACCACTTGCGGCATATTATCAAGTACCCCTACGCCATATTTTACTGGTATGCATTTTTTGTATCTTAATGTCAGCTTTACAAGATTAATAAATTCCTTTCTTTAATTTAGTTCATCAAGTTCAATGTCGCATTACATTAATGGGAGCCATGGACTTGTAGGTTTACGATGAGATGAGCTTACCAAATGGTGTTCTGAGGATTCAGCCAAAAGGTGGTCATGGCTATCACAATGGGTATGTGTGAATATTAATTTTGAACAGAATTCATATGAAAATTTATCTATCACTTTCCTCTGTTCTTGAATAAATATGTTTTCAAAATCAAGAAAAAGTAGTTTGATTCTTTTATCTCTTAACGATGCATAATGTTAGTTTGTCCAACTAGTTTCTGACTTAGAATTGAAGATTCTATAACTAACATACTAAATGAGGTGGATTCTATAGTAAATTATATTTTCCGTGTTATGTTCTAATTGATGTCTTTCACGAGAGCTGCTAAATTAACCGTGTTGAAATTCCTAATGAACAAGTATTAAAGACAGTTTCTCAATTTTTGCATTCTGTATCCTGTGAAGGTACGTTTGCACAGATGCTTTCTGTAGTCCATTGTTAGTAAGTTTTCATGTACCATTGTGACTAAGTTCCATGCTTATTAAGAAGGATATGGAGCAGGAATCTTACTAGATTCAATTAGAGATGTATTAGTGGTGATGTCATAAGAAGAAGTTAAGTAAGGGGTTTGAGGTTCTTAGTGTTGGCTGAATAGCAAGTGGATGAAGAAACACCCTGTTCGTGTCCTTTTATCTATAGATTCCGAACTAGAAATTAAATAAACATTATACTGATTCTAGAAAGGGATACTTCAGTCTCAAATTTTAGCTACCCATACTTAATTTGACGGGTTTGACAGTTTGGCTACAGAAAACCGAGATTTTTCCTGTAGATTGTTTAGTTGTTTACCTTTAAGCCTTTATTTCCTTGCAAAATCAAAGGGTAACTATGCATCACTTTGTTTTTTTTGGTTACAACTATGCATCACTTTTCCTTGATATGCTTAGAAAAAAAGAAAAAGCCAATCTGGCTCGGATGATTTAGTATAGAAGGAAGCAAAGACTATACATAGTCTTTCCGGGGTTGTTTGTTTGAAATCTTCTCTAAACAAATCTTTCCCTTTTCCATACAGTTAGAGCTTTAAAAGTCCAAATGAATTTCAATTGCTCTTCTCAGAATCTTGTAGAAAAATGGAAGAGTCGGGGCACACTCAAAGTTGTTGATATGTGTGCTACTGGGTTTTATGTGCATTTGTGGTTAGGTGAAGTTATAGACTGGAGGTTGTTTGATAATATTGGAAGTGACAACAGTAACATTTTATCTGCCTCAGAAAAATTGTGCTTGGCGTGGATCATTTGAAAGTCAAACTCTTCTCTAGCTTGTTAGCGTTGCATATTTTCCTGTCCTTATTAAACCACTACTTTTTTATCTGCCATTTACGTTCCCTGATTCTTGTTTACCCAATGCTTGGCCATGAAGAAAAGAAAAGATTTAACCCAACTCGTACTGCCCCTAACCAAAATTACATTTTGTTCTTATTAGCTTTCTCTTGATAAGCAAACGCAAAAAATATTAGTAGTTCTGTTTCTTTTGTTTCTTCCTCTTTTTCTCTCTTATTTTCTCTGCTCTCTAGTTGAAAGCATACGGAAGGCAGGAAGGAAAGAATATAATTATGAACAGCTTGAACTTGATTGTCTTGTGACACATTCTTTCAGAAATGCTGATCCACGTAACTCCATATCAGGCAATACAAAACTGAGTAATAACGTGTCTGCTGAATCCCGCTTCTCTCATGTTCCAAACTTTTTATAATTGTTTTCTCCTTGTTGCAGTGTAAAAAGTGTAATGGGCCATCTGGACGGTTGCCGTGAATTTCCTCGGCTGTGTATAGGTTTGTTTCTTCAGTAGTATTTTCAACCGATGGTTAAGTGTCTTAGTCCAAAAGGGTCTATACTTGCCTTAATTGGAAACTAAAAGAGGAGTATGAATTATGTTTCAGGTATTGGAAATCCACCTGGAACTATGGACATGAAAGCCTATCTTCTACAGAGATTCAGTACAGTCGAGAGACATCAGGTATATCGTTGTTTCTAAATAGTTCTGACTCATGGTATTAAGGAAATTCATTGATCACTTAAATGGTCAGAAAATATTTGCTTGCCCACACGCTCGCCATGCACATTCAAATGTTCACGCATCTGCAATTTACGTTGTCTGTTCACTTGAATTGGTGTGAATTTCAACCTGTAATATCAAATTTGACCGATATCTGCTATATATGTGAACAGATTGATGCAGCACTGGATCAAGGGGTTGAAGCTGTAAGGACCCTGGTGCTGAATGGATTTGACCAGAGCATCACTAGTTTTAATTTGAGGCAGAAATACAAATATCACAAAGTGTAATTTGCACAAATCCTTTTGTGTGTCACATATTTCTTCTGAAACAGGTTTGTAATCTGCATAATATTAATACCATGGCACCTTAGATTTTCACATCGTGTATCGATAGTTAAAAGCGACTCATCTTGCCTGACCGATGTTTTGAGTCCCATTTTGCCCCCTCCGTCAAGTT